CTTTTTTCGCTCGGAATTAGAATTTCCGAATTATTTACCATGATCCATAATATCCTCCCGGAGTCCAATTGGGTAGGTGGAACCATCAAATTTGTCTTTAAACGACCAATTTAACGATTTACAACTTGCATCGATTTCATTTATTCAAGCCTACCACAAACATTATGATAACATATAATGATCATATAAGGTTCAAAACGGCATTATATGACCCCAAGATGTATTCTCAAAAATCTCAAGCCTTTTTGACACTGGGCCTCGAGACCTCAAAAATTACTCAAAAAGCTTGATATTAGCCTTCAATTTTGGAATCTTTTTCTTTTTTCGGCCGAAAATAAAAATTGCCGAAATGTTTACCATGGTCCCTAATACCTTTAGAGAGTACAATTGGGTGGTTGGAACCATCCAATTTACCCTTAAACGGATAATTTACTGATTTACAACTTGCACCGATTTCATTAATTCAAGCCTACTACGAACATTTATTAAAACATATAATGATCATGAAAGGTTCTAAACAACATTATATTACCCCGAGATGTATCTCCTAAAATCTCAAGCCTTTCGACACTTGGCCCCGAAACCTCCAAAATTTCTTAAAAAGCGTGGATATTAGTTTTCAATATCGGAATTTTTTAACTTTTTTTCGCCCGAAAATTAAAATTGCCAAAATGTTTACCATGGTCCCTAATACCCTCTAGGAGTCCAATTGGGTAGGTTGAACTATCTTATTTGCCTTTAAACGGTTAATTGATCGGTTTACAACTTGCACCGATTAAATATTCAAACCTACTACCAACATTTATGACAACATATAATGATCATATATGGTTCCAAACGACATTGTATGACCTCGAGATGTATCTCCTAAAATCTCAAGCCTTTTCGACACCTGGCCCCGAAACCTCCAAAATTTCTCAAAAAGCGTGGATATTTGTCTTCAATATTGGAACTTTTTAACTTTTTTTCGCCCGTGAATAAAAATTGCCGAAATGTTTACCATGGTCCCTAATACCCTCCGATAGTCCAATTGTGAGGGTGTAACTATCCGATTTCCCATTAAACGGCCCATTTACCGATTTACAACTTCCACCGATTTTATTAACTCAAGCCTACCATGAACATTTATGAAAACATAAAATGATAATTTATGTTTCCAAACATCATTATATGACCCCGAGATTTATTTCTTATAATCTCATTTCTTTTTGACACCAGGCCCTTTAACCTTCGAAATTTCTAAAAAAACATGGATATTAGCCTTCAATATTTGAATTTTTTTGACTTTTTTTCGCTCGGAATTATAGATTGCCGAATTATTTACCTTGATACATAATACCCTCCCGGATTCCAATTGGGTAGGTGGAACCATCCAAATTGCCTTTAAACTACAAATTTACCGATTTACAACTTGCACCGATTTCATTAATTCAAGCGTACCACAAACATTATGACAACATATAATGATCATATAAGGTTCCAAACGACATTATATGACCCCCAGATGTATCCCCAAAATCTCAAGCCTTTTTGACACCGGGCCTCGAAACCTCCAAAATTTCTCAAAAAGCGTAGATATATTAGGCTTTAATTTTGGAATTTTTTTACTATTTTACGCCGAAAATAAAAATTGCCGAAATGTTTACCATGGTCCCTAATACCTTTAGGGAGTAAAATTGGGTGGTTGGAATCATCCAGTTTACCTTTAAACGGCCAATTTACCGATTTACAACTTGCACCGATTTCATTGATTCAACCCTACTACGAACATTTATTAAAACATATAATGATCATATAAGGTTCTAAACAACATTATATGACCCCGAGATGTATCTCCTAAAATCTCAAGCCTTTCGACACCCGGCCCCGAAACTTCCAAAATTTCTTAAAAAGCGTGGATATTAGTCTTCAATTTCGGAATTTTTTAACTTTTTTTCGTCCGAAAATTAAAATTGTCGAAATGTTTACTATGGTCCCTTATAACCTCTAGGAGTCCAATTGGGTAGGTGGAACTATCCTATTTTCCTTTAAACGACCAATTGACCGGTTTACAACTTGCACCGATTAAATTTTCAAACCTACTACCAACATTTATGACAACATATAATGATCATATATGGTTCCAAACGACATTGTATGACCCCGATATGTATCTCCTAAAATCTCAAGCCTTTTCGACACCTGGCCCCGAAACTTCCAAAATTTCTCAAAAAGCGTGGATATTAGTCTTCAATTTTGGAATTATTTAACTTTTTTTTGCCCGGAAATAAAAATTTCCGAAATTTTTACCATGGTCCCTAATACCCTCCGAGAGTCCAATTGGGTGGGTGGAACTATCCGATTTCCCATTAAATGGCCTATTTATCGGTTTACAACTTGCACCGATTTCATTAACTCAATCTTACCATGAACATTTATGACAACATAAAATGATCATTTATGGTTCAAACATAATTATATGACCCCGAGATTTATTCCATATAATCTCATTTCTTTTTTATACCAGGCCCTGAAACCTTCGAAATTTCTATAAAAACATGGATATTAGCCTTCAATTTTTAAAATTTTTTGACTTTTTTCGCTCGGAATTATAAATTGCCGAATTATTTACCATGATCCATAATACCCTCCCGGAGTCCGATTGGGTAGGTGGAACCATCCAATTTACCTTTAAACGGCCAATTTACCGATTTAAACTTGCACCGATTTCATTAATTCAAGCCTACAACGAACATTTATTAAAACATATAATGATCATATAAGGTTCTAAACGGCAATATAAGACCCCGAGATGTATCTCCTAAAATCTCAAGCCTTTTTGACACCGAGTCCCGAAACCTTCAATATTTCGTAAAATGCGTGTTTATTAGTCTTCCATTATGGAATTTTTTGACTTTTTTTGCTCGGAAATAAAAATTGCCAAAATGTTTACCATGACCCCTAATATCCTTCGGAAGTCAAATTGGCTGGGTGGAACCGTCCAATTTGTCTTTAAGCGACCAATTTACTGGTTTACAACTTGCACCGATTTCATTAACTCAAACCTACCACGAACATTTAATGATCATATATGGTTCCAAACAGCATTATATGACCCTTAGATGTATCCCCTAAAATCTTAAAGATTTCCAATACCTAGCCTCGAAACCTCCAAAATTTCTACAAAAGCGTGGATATTAGCCTTAAATTTTGGAATTTTTTTTTTACTTTTTTTCGCCTATAAATAAAAATTGGCGAAATGTTTACCATGGTCCCTAATACAATTCGGGAGTCCAATTAGGTGGGTGGAACCATCCAATTTTCCTTTAAATGTCGAATTTACCGGTATACAACTTACATCGATTTCATTAACTCAAGCCTACCACGAACATTTATGATAACATATAATGATCATTTATGGTTTAAAATAGTATTATATGACCCTGAGATGTATCCCCTAAAATCTTAAAACTTTTCAACATCGGGCCCCGAAACCTAAAAAATTTCTCAAAAAACGTGGATTAGCCTTCAATTTTGGAATTTTTTGACAATTTTTGCCCGAAAATAAAAAATTGCCGAAATGTTTACCATGGTCCCTAATACCCTCCAGGAGTCCAATTGGGTATGTGGAACCATTCAATTTACTTTAAAACGACCAATTTACCGATTTGCAACTTACACTGATTTACCTGTTTACAACGGCCAATTTAATTAACTTGCACCGAACCCGACTTGAATCGAAATTGATCCAAACCCATTTTAACCCGTCAAAAGCCGACTTGTTACTAACCTGACCTGAATTCAACCCCACCCGTTCCTAACCCCACCCGAATTTAACCCAACTAGTTACAAACCCGACCCGAAATCAACTTGACTTGTTATTGACCTGACCCAAATTCAACCTGACTTGTTATTAACCTGACCTGAATTTTACCATACCTATTACTTACCCAACCAAAAAATTCAACCTGATCTGTTACTAACCCGACTCAAAATTTACACGACTTGTTATTGACCAGACCTAAATTCAACCAAAATTTTTCCTGACCCGATTTCAAATCACCTTAAATGCAATTTAGACCATCTTATTATTGTTGATCAAAGCATTTTGTCTTGGGAGACCAAGTCGGTCTAGGCCAGCAAAAGAAAGGATCATCATCCTCAAATTTAAGAGTTAAATATAGTATATATTTGTTGTACGGTCAAATGAAATAATTATCTTTCTAAATTATAGACTATTGTTCCCTAGTATATTGTCATATAGATATAATCAAAGGAAATAATTAGCTTGATAAAAATGATAATTATCTACTTATAGTTAGTTGAACCCGAACATGACCTGACTTGGAAATGACCCGACCTGATTGTAACCTGCAAATTATTGACTTGACATAACCCGACTTGAATCTGAGAATGACATGACTTGGAAATGACCCAACCTGATTATAACTAGCAAATTATTGACTTGAACCCGAGAATGACCCGACTTGAAAATGACTCGACCTGATTATAATCCAAATTATTGACTTGAACCGAACCCGACTCAAACCCAAGAATGACTCGACCTGATTCTAACCCGCAAATTAAACTCGACCTATTGTTCACCCGACCCGAATGTAACCCGACCTGTTATTAACCTGACCCAAACCCGATAAGAAGTATGACCCGACATAACCCGACTCAAGCATGACCCAACCTAAACCCGACCCGCATAGGTTATGGAATTAATCTGAATTGATCCGACCCGAGTTGACCCAACCCACTCTTACTCGACCCGTTTATACGAATTGACAGCTCTATTAGTATGTGACTTGTGTGTGCCTGGACTGCCCAGTTTCCTGTGATTTGCTAAGTTTGCATTACATGTTATTAACTTGGCTTAATTTTCTGGCGGGATCCTAAATTTGCTCAAGTGCTATTATCAATGTATGGCTAAGTGTTAAACTGGCTGGGGAATTATCTTTAACAGTTCTAACTTCAATAGTATCAATACATTGTGAGTTGAGACTTGAGAGGTCTTCAAGAACTAGCAGAATAAACGTAAAACTGAAATTATTAAAATGTGATACAATAAAAGTGCTATACATTTCAGTACTTTAGATCCAATGTTCCAAAAACCTCTTAATTGTCAGCCGCCTTCCGATTTAGAATTGGCAAATACTTAATTCTAACAGCTTTTAATCAAAGTAGTACATATCTGCATTTGTGAAAAAGATCTACAATAGACATTGGAGGGTAAACTTTTAATGTGGTGACAAACTTGGTTACAACAACTAATTGAAAACCATGCCAAAAAGAGGGAAATAGGATGCAAAACCAAATTTTAAACCGTCTAAGCAGGTCATCAGCAGACTGGATTATCATCAGCATTTTCAGAGGCAGCAGATGCCAGAATGAGCTGTGGTTCGATAGAATATCCTTCCCTTCTTGCCTTCCTCTTCTCACGCTGTAGCCTGAAAGCCTCTCTTTTCCTTGCTCTGTAACTGTTGGGGTTTTCAGGCTGTACTTCTCGTGGGTAAACACTCACCTGGCACAAACTTGATGTCAATTGTATGAATGCTACAGAATATACTTGAAAATTGCTGAAAACTAACCTTTTTCTTGTCAGGACCAAACTTCTCAAACTTCACTAATCCATCAATTAGAGCAAAGATTGTATGGTCCTTGCCGAGTCCAACATTCTTCCCCGGATGGAACTAGAATGAACAAATAAAATCAATATTGTGGCACACGTATTTAAAAGTCTATATAATCAGTACAAAAATGGTTACAGTCGCACTCAATGACAGTATTTCCCTTACGATAGTTACTGGCTTACTGTTCATAAGGCTTCATCTTTCAGTTGTTTAAATGGTGTGCTAAAGAGTTTAAAAATGCTAGTTGGGTAGAAAATGCACAAGATAAGATACAGTGCAATAAATAGCACCGTGAATGCAATTTCACAATGCTTCCCAAACTAAGAACCTTCAAATTAACAATAAGAAAGTGTTCTTCACCTCATGACAGGACACCACTTACACAGCATTTTTTTTATGGGCAAATCAGTTAAATCCTACACATCGGTTCTTAAGCAGACTTTTCCCGTCTATTACAAATCACTAATGAACTCAAAATTATAGTCATTCATAGTTCAAACCAGCAAAAGATGCACCAAATCTCCTAACAAATTGGAATTTTCCCTCATTCTCTTAGGTTGTAAACTCAGAGTAGTACTCAGTAAACTCTCATGAAGTTATTGCAGAAAGAAAGATATCCAGAACCATCTTCCAAATTCTTATGTATAGAATGCCTTCTGCTCAGTGATTACAATACTCGGAAATGCTATAAGTTATGCCTATATGAACTTATGAAGTACATGAAATGTACTATAAGAACCTATGGAAAGACAACAAACTACTACTCGTCTTCACCAAGACAACCCATAGAAAGGATGAAGCACGACCACAAAACTTTACTGCAGGGCGATTCGTGAATTTAGCATCATAGAAGCTATGGCAAAATAGAAATCCACTCATCAACTATAGCAAAATCATTCTGCAAAGCTTAAGCTCTGCACTATCCAATTATCTCTCCCATTTTCGCCACCGAACAAGGACACAAAACATGCAGTACATTATTTGATGGAAATATTTTAAAAAAACTATCACCTCTCTTTTCACAACCACTTGAATTAGATCAAACAATACAAATAAGCCATCACTAATTCACAATCTCATCAAGAGCAATCCAATTTCCAGAAATTTTCATACTAAGCAAGAATAACAACAATTATAATTCCATCTCACTACTATACTAACCTAATCATATAATTTCCAGAACAATTCAATAGCAAAATAAATAAATCAATTACTATCAACAGCAGAAAGATTTACAGATTAACAAATTCAAGTTTAAATGTGAAAATTGTAAATTAAATGAGCTCATATAAATTGATTAGCTATAGATTGCATCAAAATTTACACAAAAACAACTCGCAGAATCAAAATTGACCAATATTAATGACAATTCAACAAATTTCTTCCTCCAAAATTAATTAATTCAACAAAATTAGGTCAAAACAATTCACCTTAGTTCCTCGTTGACGAATAATAATGGCGCCAGGTTTAGCAACTTGGTCGCCATAAATCTTGACACCGAGCCTCTGACCTTTAGAATCTCGACCATTCTTAGTACTTCCAGCTCCTTTTTTGTGAGCAGATTCAATCGTCAATGGAAATGGCGAAACTGAGAGAGGAGATTTTTTAGGAAGAGAAAGAGAAGAAGCTCCAAATTCGCCTTTAAGGAAGGATGATGAAGAGCTTGAAGTCAATGAAATTCCTCTAAATGAAGCGATTAGATTGAAGCTCATTGCAGTAGTGACCGCCATTGTTGAGGTGTTTGAAGCTCTAGAATTGAGGTTAATTTGGAGTGAATTTCATCAAAGAAGATGAACAGATGATGAGAGAGAAAGCGTTACCTTATCGTTGTGGCTCTTATTAGGGAGTGTAGTTTTGAAGGAGGCCCGTTTATTTGTGGGCTATTATTGCATCATTTTGTGGGAATGAAACTCATTGATCAAACATTCAAACTAGTACATGAATTCATAGATTAGAAATTTAGAATAATCTTTTTTAGCCATAAATTTTTTTTTGAATCACTTTTTAGTCATAAACTAGTGAGTAGTCCGGGTGTTGCACAAAATTACGCTCACATGACAACATTAATATTTCATGAATTTCAAAGTAGAGTCAAAACTCATTCTTGGTACTTTATTGACATCTTTATCAGTGTCTTACGGTTTCAAACCTCCTTATATGACCCCAAGATCCACCCAACACATTCAGTTAATTTTTTGAAAAAATGTCAAAAATTGACCCAAATCGTGTATTATAGCCTTCAATTTTGGAAAATTTTCGCTTTTTTGACCTGGAAATAAAAATTGTCGAGATGCTTAACATGGACTCTAATACACCCCAGGAGTCTATTTGGGTGGGTACAACCATCCAATATTCCCTTAAACAATCAATTTACCCGTTCGCAACTAGCACCGATTTCATAAACTCAAGCCTACCACGGACGTGTATGACAACATATAATGATCATATATAGTTTCAAACGACATTATATGACCCCGAGATGTATCCCTTAGGGTCTCAAGAGTTTTCGCCACCAGGAACCAAAACTGCAAATTTACTCAAAAGCATGGATTATATAGCCTTCAATTTTGTAACTTTATGACCTTTTTTCGCCCGTAAATAAAAATTGCCGAGATGTTTACCATGGTCCCTAATACCCTCTACGAGTCCAATTGAGTGGGTGGAACCAGCTAATATGCCCTTAAACGATCATTTTACCCATTCGCAACTTGAAGTGATTTCGTAAACTCAAGCCTACCGCGGACGTTAATGACAATATACAATGATCATGTATGGTTTCAAACGACATTATATGACCCCGAGATGTATCCCTAAGGGTCTCAAAAGTTATCGCCACCGGGCACCAAAACCTCCCAAATTAACTCGAAAAGCATGGATTATATTTCAATTTTGAAATTTTATGACCTTTTTTCGCCCGGGAATAAAAATTGCCGAGATGTTTACCATGGGTCCTAATACCCTCCAGGAGTTCAATTGGGTCGGTGGAACCATCCAATATGCCCTTAAACGATCATTTTACCCATCTGCAACTTGTAGTGATTTCGTAAACTCAAGCCTACCAAGGACATTTATGACAACATACAATGATCATGTATGGTTTCAAACGACATTATATGACCCCGAGATGTATCCCTTAGGGGCAAAGGGTCTCAAGAGATTTCGTCACTGAGCCCCGAAAACTCTAAATTTACTCAAAAAACATGGATTATAGCTTTTAATTTTGTAATTTTATGACCTTTTTTCACCCGGAAATAAAAAAATTGCCGAGATGTTTACCATGGGCCCTAATACCCTTCGGGAGCCCAATTGGGCGGGTGGAACCATCCAATATGCCCTTAAACGATCATTTTACCCGTTCGCAACATGTAGTGCAGTGATTTCATAAACTCAAGCCTACCACGGACATTTATGACAATATACAATGATCATATATGGTTTCAAACGGCATTATATGACCCCTGAGATGTATCCCTTAGGATCTCAGGAGTTTTCGCCACCAGGCACCGAAACCTCCAAATTTACTCAAAAAGCATGGATTATAGCCTTCAATTTTGTAATTTTATGACCTTTTTATGCCCGAAAATAAAAATTTCCGAGATGTTTGTCATGGTCCCCAATACCCTCCAAGAGTCCAATTGGGTGGGTGGAACCATCCAATATGCCCTAAAACGATCATTTTACCCGTTCACAACTTGTGGTGTAGTGATTTCATAAACTCAAGCCTACCACGGATGTTTATGACAGTATACAATGATCATATATGGTTTCAAACGACATTATATGACCCCGAAATGTATCCCTTAGAGAATCAAGAGTTTTTGACTTTTTTCCACCGGGCACCGAAACCTCCAAATTTACTCGATCAAAAAGCATGGATTATAGCCTTTAATTTTGTAATTTTATGAACTTTTTTCGCCTGAAAATATAAATTGCCGAGATGTTTACCATGGGCCCTAATACCTCCGGGAGCCCAATTGGGTCGGTAGAACCATCCAATATGCCCTTAAACGGTCATTTTACCCGTTCGCAACTTATAGTGATTTCGTAAACTCAAGCCTACCAGGGACATTTATGAAAATATACAATTATCATATATTGTTTCAAACGGCATCATATGACCCCGAGATGTATTACTTAGGGTCTCAAGAGTTCTCGTCACCGGTCACGGAAACCTCCAAATTTACTCAAAAAGCATGAATTATAGCCTTCAATTTTGTAATTTTATAACCTTTTTTCGCCAGTAAATAAAAATTGCCGAGATATTTACCATGGGCCTAATACCCTCAGGGAGCCTAATTGGGTCGGTGGAACCATCCAATCTGCCCTTAACGATCATTTTACCCGTTCGCAACTTGCATTGATTCGAAAACTCATGTCTACCACGACGTTTATGACAATATAAAAGGATTATTTATGGTTTCAAACGGCATTACATGACCCCGAGATGTATTCCCTTAGAGTCTCAAGAATTTTCGACACCGGGCCCCGAAACCTCCAAATTTACTCAAAAAACATGGATTATAGCCTTCAATTTTGTAATTTTATGACCTTTTTCGCCCAAAAATAAAAATTGGCGAGATGTTTGCCATAGTCCCTAATACCCTCCGATCCGAGAGTCCAAGTGGGTGGGTGGAACCATCCAATATGCCCTTAAACCGTCATTTTACCCGTTCGCAACTTGAAGTGATTTCGTAATTAAACTCAAGCCTACCACAGACGTTTATAAATATATTCAATGATCATATATGGTTTCAGACGAAATTATATGACCCTGAAATGTATCCCTTAGGAATCAAGAGTTTTCGCCACCGGGTATTGAAACCACCAAATTTACTCAAAAAGCATGGATTATAGCCTTCAATTTTGTACTTTTATGACCTTTTTTCGCCCGAAAATAAAAATTGTCGAGATGTTTGCCATGCTCCCTAATACCCTCCGAGAGTCCAATTGGGTGGGTAGAACTATCCAATATGCCCTTAAACGGTCATTTTACCCATTCGCAAATTGAAGTGATTTCGTAAACTCAAGCATACCACGGACGTTTATGACAATATACAATGATCATATATGGTTTCAAACGACATTATATGACCCCGAGATGTATCCCTTAGGGTCTCAAAAGTTTTCGCCACCAGGTACCGAAACCTCCAAATTTACGCAAAAAGCATGGATTATGACCTTCAATTTTGTAATTTTTTGACCTTTTTTCGCCCGAAAATAAAAATTGTCGAGATGTTTACCATGGGCCCTAATGCCCTCAAGGAGTCCAATTGGGTCGGTGGAACCATCCAATATGCCCTTAAACGGTCATTTTACCCGTTCACAACTTGTAGTGATTTCGTAAACTCAAGCTTACCACGGACTTTTATGACAATATATGATGATCATATATGGTTTCAAACGACATTATATGACCCCGAGATGTATCACTTAGGGTCTCAAAATTTTTCGCCACCGAGCACCGAAACCTCCAAATTTACTCAAAAAACATGGATTATGGCCTTCAATTTTGTAATTTTTAGACCTTTTTTCGCCCGGAAATAAAATTTGTCGAGATTTTACCATGGGCCCTAATGCCCTCCAGGAGTCCAATTGGGTCGGTGGAACCATCCAATATGCCCTTAAACGATCATTTTACCCGTTCACAACTTGTAGTGATTTCGTAAACTCAAGCCTACCACGGACGTTTATGACAATATATGATGATCATTTATGGTTTCAAACGGCATTATATGACCCCCGAGATGTGTCCCTTAGGGTCTCAAGAGTTTTCACCACCGGGCACCGAAACCTCCAAATTTACTCAAAAAGCATGAATTATAGCCTTCAATTTTGTAATTTTATGACCCTTTTTTGCCCGCAGATAAAAATTGTCGAGATTTTTTACCATAGGCCCTAATAACTTCCGGGAGCCCAATTGGGTCGGTGGAACCATCCAATATGCCTTTAATTGGTCATTTTACCCGTTTGCAACTTATTGTGATTTCGTAAACTCTACCCTACCACGGACGTTTATGACAATATATTTAATGATCATATATGGTTTCAAATGATATTATATGACCCCAAGACGTATTACTTAGGGTCTTTAGAGTTTTCGCCACCGGGCACTGAAACCTCCAAATTTACTCAAAAAGCGTGGATTATAGCCTTCAATTTTGTAATTTTATGACCTTTTTCGCCCAGAAATAAAAATAGCCGAGATGTTTACCATGGGCCCACTACAAGAAAATAACCTTTTCGTAGCGATTATTTTAACCTTTAGTATCAATTGTAATTGCAACAAAAAGCTTTCCCAACGAATGGTCATTCGATACAATATCCCCCGTTGCCTTAGCCTTTAGTAGTGGTTTTCAATATCGTTGGGGTTGGCCTCAATAATCGATACGAAAAAATACATCCAATTGTGGTGATTATTGTAGCGACTACAATCGCTATAAATGATTAACTCATTTTTTTCAAAAAAAAAAACATGCGTATGATCTTTACAAGATTAGAACATGCAACCTCAAACTCTTATATTAAATGTTTCACCAATAAGTTATGACATATTTTATGTATTCTTTATCAAACAATATTTATACTTCGTATAACTAGTGTTGAAAAGGCTTTTCATATCGATTTTTAGGATTTAGTGGCGATTGTAAATGATACGATTTCTCAAAATTATATAAATGTGTAAAAATATTGTGGATATATATTATTATATTTTCCGTATCGATTTTATGTGGGAAAACCATAAATATGATACGACAACCTTAATTAATTCACAAACATACTTGCATATTGTAGCGAATGTACAATCGCTACGAAATAATCGCTACGAAAAGAGATTTTTCTTGTAGTGGCCCTAATACCCTCCTGGAGTTCTATTGGGTCGGTGGAACCATCCA